GTTTGCCAGGCGCCGCGCCAACCCACGTGTTTTTTTCCCACGCGACGCACAGACCCACGCGATGGTGGGCGCGATGCCATGACTCACGTTTCCGCGCGACGCGCTGACCCGCGTAGTTTTCCACGCCGTGCGGTGACCCGCGTTCGTCCGTGCGACGTGCTGACGCGACGTGCTGACCCACGGGGTTTGTTCCGTGCGATGCGGTGACCCACGTGTCTGCGCAACGCAACGATCCCCGTGTTTTATCGTGCAACGCAACGATCCGCGCGTTGTTCCGTGCCATGCCCTGACCCCGTCTCTCCAGGAAGGCACGGCCCCCGTGGGTTGGGGTGGGATGCCACTGGAGACCCCCGTGCTCTCCCCTAACCCGCTGCCCCTCTCGCCCTCCGTCCCGTGCGATGCGGTGACCCACGTGTCTGCGCAACGCAACGATCCCCGTGTTTTATCGTGCAACGCAACGATCCGCGCGTTGTTCCGTGCCATGCCCTGACCCCGTCTCTCCAGGAAGGCACGGCCCCCGTGGGTTGGGGTGGGATGCCACTGGAGACCCCCGTGCTCTCCCCTAACCCGCTGCCCCTCTCGCCCTCCGTCCCAGACCTTTTTTTTCCCCGCCATGTACGTCGCCATCCAAGCCGTCCTCTCCCTCTACGCCTCCGGCCGCACAACCGGTGAGTAGGACATGTGGCATCCACCGCCAGGGGACCTTCTGTGGTGGAGAAGGGACCAAGGTGGCTTCGAGTCCCCCTCCTTCACCTTCCTCCTCCCCTTCCCAGGCATCGTCCTTGACTCTGGGGACGGCGTCACCCACAACGTGCCCATCTACGAGGGCTACGCTCTGCCCCACGCCATCATGCGTCTTGACTTGGCCGGCCGCGACCTCACTGACTACCTCATGAAGATCCTCACCGAGAGGGGCTACTCCTTCGTCACCACCGGTATGGGACTGGGAATGGGGGTACGGGGTGATGGAGGACCCCACGGTGCTGCCGTGGCACCAGATTGAGCCTGTTCACCATCGTCTCCCACAGCCGAGCGGGAAATCGTGCGTGACATCAAGGAGAAGCTCTGCTATGTGGCCCTCGACTTTGAGAACGAGATGGCCACAGCCGCCTCCTCCTCCTCGCTGGAGAAGAGCTATGAGCTCCCCGACGGGCAGGTCATCACCATCGGGAACGAGCGTTTCCGCTGCCCTGAGACCCTCTTCCAACCCTCCTTCATTGGTGAGCCCACCCCAAATTTTCCTGGCTGTCCCCTAGGTGGTTGCTCCCCATCCCCACCACCCCACCAGTGGGAAACCACCTCCCATGGGTGCCCTGCAGAGGTGTTTCAGGGCTCCCCCAAGTGCTTTGCACCCCAAACGGGAGGAGAAACTCATGGGTGAATCCTGCAGCTCTTTTGGGGAGCCCCGAGGAGGCATGGGTGGGGGTCAGGGTGCTGATAGCCCCTTTCCCCCCCAGGCATGGAGTCAGCTGGCATCCACGAGACGACCTACAACTCCATCATGAAGTGCGACATCGACATCCGCAAGGACCTCTATGCTAACAACGTGTTGTCCGGCGGCACCACCATGTACCCCGGCATCGCCGACCGCATGCAGAAGGAAATCACGGCGCTGGCTCCCAGCACCATGAAGATCAAAGTAGGTGATGGTGGGGGCAAACTATGGCCACCAACACCCTAAATCCTCTGCTGGTGCAGGTTTGGGGTGGGGTGGGGGGATCCGGGGGTGCATCCTAACGGCTCGTGTCTTGGCAGATCATCGCCCCGCCGGAGCGGAAGTACTCGGTGTGGATCGGTGGCTCCATCCTGGCGTCCCTCT